AAAAAAAAAAAAAAAAAAAAAAAAAAAAAAAAAAAAAAAAAAAAAGAGCCATTGTCTCTGCCATGCAGATATGTTAGAGCCTAAGATATGATCAAAGTCAATTTTCTCAAACAGATGGGGAAACAGAGGCCAGGAAAGGCAAAAGTGTAAAGGCATGTAGCAAACTAGTGGCCAAATAGGGACTGGTGTCCCCCAGGGCCTCTTGGCTCTCATGAATGGCTCTTTGCCACCCTTAGGCACCAGGGCAGCTGGGGTCTGGCTAAGTAGGGGTCATAAGTTTCCACTGACTTTACTTCAGGACCCTGAGTCACCCTGGCCTTGAATGGCTTCTCCAGAGCAGGGACGACAGGCTAGCCCATCAGGAAGCTAAACACGCAGGAGGCTTTGGGGCCGCAGGACTGATGACTGAGGGTTTTAGTCAAGCTCTCAGCTATTCCACTGCCAATGGTCACATTGGGCCCATTCTATGAGAGATCCCTTGCCCAAAGTGAGTCTAACTGTGGCTGAGTTCTGAAACAGACTGTTCTTCAGCTCAACTATTCTCTTCAGTTATTTGGGAACATTTTTTTTTTTTACTTTTCTTTTTTGGTTTTTCAAGGCAAAATTTGGTTTCTCTGTGTAGCCTTGGCCATGCTGGAACTCACTCCGTTGACCAGGCTGACTCTGAACTCAAGAGATCTGCCCACCTCTGCCTCCACCTCCTGGCTCAGTTTTGGCCTTCTATTTTCCTGAAAAATACTAAAACAGGCTTCAACCACGAAGGTATTATATTTGAAAGAAATAATGGCAAAATGTCTCAGAACATTTGACTGAACTCCGGAGAAGCACTTGGCTTCAGGAAAAGGACTGGTTTCTCTACCTAGACAGATCCATCGGTTGCAGTTTCCCGGGGCAGAGACGGCAATGTTTTTCACATCTGGGTCTTTGCTCCACATAGGCCTGACCACACTGAACCACCATCAGGCCAGATGTTTTTAAAAAGCACTGAGGGGGCTCCAGATAGGTCGGTGGCACACACCTTTGATTAATCCCAGCACTCAGGGGGCAAAGGCAGCCAGGGCTATACAGTAAGACCCTGTTACAATTAAAAAATTTTTAGAAAGCCTTTGAGGGCAAGAGCCCAAGAGAGAATCCTACGGACCATTTTGTAAAGTTCTTGCCAAGCACATGACCAAGGCAAGGGAGCCTGTAGAACCCTGAGTGGGTGACGAACCCACTCTTCTGTTCACCCGAGGGTGAAGCAAACGTCTTCCCTCATAGGCGATGAGCGGTATTTCTTGTCCAGGCCTAGCAAGAACAAGGGAAATGGTTCTACCACTCCCAATGACCAGGACTTTTGATGGTTCTATTAGGCCCGCACACAAGCACGTCATCCTTTTAAGACTAGTCACAATCTCCTTCCTTCCTGATGGTGAACCCCTAAACTCATCCTTAAATCTTACAAAAGCGAGGGGGACTACCATCCCACACCATACCCCCTTTCTCACACTTACAGCTCTCCCTCTAACCAACTGCTAAGCATCCTCACCCCCCTACCACCCTTCAGGCTCCTGTCCTCTGCACACACACACCCACACTTACCCAGGAACAAAACCTCGTGGTCCAGTCGGCACTTCAGTTGGTACTACAGGGAGGTGACGGTGAATGTGTCCTCAGGGTGAGGTTCCGCCATGGGCCCCAGGAAGCCACTCTTAGGGCCCCCGCCCAGGCCAGGATGTGCCTGCGGCATAAAGCCTGGATACCTGTAGGCAGTGTCCTGCAGGGGCAGCAGCGAGTCCCTCGGCACAGGGGACAGGGTTAAGTCACTAAGGAGCGGGCAGCCATAGCCAGCAGTGGCTGCAGCGGGGCCACGGGGTGGACCCGGAGGCCGGGCCATCTCTAGTGGCTCCTTGTCGGCCTTGGGCGTGGCTGGTGGGCTAGCCAGGTGAGGGGCGCTGAGGCAGACAGCCTCCGTCCTGCCCAGGAAGTCAGCCAGCAGCCCTGAACCCACCTTGCCTTCATAGGGTGGGCTACGGGCGGCTGAGCCTGGTGGGTACCAATAGGACGAACCCTTGCAACTAGGGGAATCATAGTGAGGCTGGCCCAGGGGCAGGTCCCGGCAGCTCAGGTGGGCCTGGGCTGCAGCTGCATGGCTCAGGCTAGCCCCCTGAAGACTATGCTTGAGGGGCTCACAGGCAGTCAGCTTTGTAGGTGGTGGCCGCAGCTCTTCCTTGAAGCCGAGTGTGGGTGAACAGGTGGGCGAGTATGCCTTCTGCAGGCCAGCATCAAACACTGTGGGTGGGTGGGCCAGTGGTGGGAAATGCTTGCTGTCGAGCTCAGGGGCACCCAGGCTGGGAGAGTCACAGTGGAAGCCTTGGCCAAAAGTGCCGTCAGAAGGTGTAGACGGATTCATGGAGTAGGGTCCCATGAAGTCACAGGGATCTCGTTCTCCCACACCAAACGCTCTTGACTGGGAAGGCAGTGGTGACATGCTACTGTCCCCACTATAGTAGTCCAGGCCAAGGTCTGGGCTGTCCTGGAACAGCGGATTAACTGGCTGTGGCTTGGGGATGAACTTGGCTTTGGCCGCTGTACCACCTCGCTCTTTCTTGGCTGAGCAGGCTCCGCTACCCCGGCCACCCCGAGGCTGCCGGGGCCCAGTGCTCCGTTTGGATGGGTAGCCAGAGGCAGTGGCCGAGGCCGAGGTGGAAAAGCCCAGATGTGAGGCCTCAAATAGGTCCACCTTCTTCCGTCGTCCGCGGCCGGGCTTGGAGCTACTCTGAAAGAGGACACTCTGGTTCCAGTTGTAGCCGGGAGCAGACGATGCTTCGTTCCAGTCCATCATGAGCTTCTCCAGGCTGGACAGGCTCGACTGACCCTCGCTGCTCGAGGCCTCGCTGTTGGCACGCCTGAAACCGCCACCACCACCGACAGGCTGACTGAACTGGGTACTGTCGGAGGACGACTCGGAGAAGGTCTCGGCCACGGCGGTCTGCTGCTTCACTTTCTGCGGCGTGTAGTTCGAGATGTCCAAGATCACGTTGGGCTCGCTCACGTGGCAGTCAAAGTTGGGATTGTAGAGCTGACTGAAGGCCTCTGAGGCCCAGTCCAGGCCTCCATACCCCTGCCGGAAAGGCCACTGAGAAGCCCCCACAAACTGCCGACAGTTCTCAGGTGAGGGCTGAAAAGAGGAGGAAGAGGAGGAGGCCGCAGAAGCTGTGGTGCCCTTGGGTACCATGTAGCCACCGGGTGAGACAGTACTGGCTCGACTGTCACAGCGCAAGGGTGTGGGAGCTGACCCAGAGAAGGGGCCCCCCTCGGAGCTGTTGAAGAAGGAAGCCTTGCTGGGCGGTAGGCAGGGACCCCCAGTAGGTGGTGGGGCGTAGCCAGCACTGTGGGCGCTGCTGGGAGAGGCGGGAAGGCTGTTGCCGCTTCCATAGGCAAAGCTGCAGTCCTTGCTATTAGCACAGTCCTGGCCTGAAAAGGGCTTCGCTGGGGCAAACACACTCTGTCCTGCCCCGTAGCCACCGTACTGAGGTGGGTAGGTGTTGGCAGGCGGGTGGGTTGTAGGCGAGCGGGCCACGGCGGAAGGAGGGGGGGCCAGCTTTGGGAAGGTCTCAGTGGCCCGGCAGTCGGACGTGGCTGGGGTTATCCCGTAGCTTGTTGCCCGTCCTGGGGGAAAGCTCTGACGGGAAGGCAGGACAGGCTGGAAGGAGGGGTCTGTTCCAGTTCCACCGCTGCCCACTGCCACTGGGCTAGCCTTGGCTCCCCGGCTCGGGAAGGTGGCAAGCCCCCGCTGAGCAGGCAGCGCATTGGAGGGAGGCCCTGCATAGGTGCCCGATGCCTTCCTGGATTCTGGGCGAGAGGCTGAGAGGGCAAAGTCCAAAAGGTCAGAGGAGTCATCTGAGTCAAGCAGGGAGCGAAAGTAGCCAGTGAAGAGGTTTTGGCGCTCCTGGCTGAGTTCCGTCTGGCCCGGGGGTGCCCCCGCATAGTAGCTGCCACGGCCTGAAGCCCCACTCTCCAGCCCAGTGGAGGCGAAAGCCCTGCCCTCGGCCCCCTGGAACCCACAGTTTCGGCCTGCCTGGGCCCCTGGGTGTCCATGGTGAGGGGCCCAGCCACCACCCTTGTCCCCAGCCCACTCAGCACCTGCCTCCCCAAAGCCTGGGCCACTGGGCACCTGCTCCGGGAACAGAGTCCCGTTCTTTCGGGACCGCCTCTTACGCTTGGGTTTCCCAGTCACAGCATCTATCTCTCCTCGGCCCCTTTTGCGTGGGTGACCCAACTCAGTGAGACCCGGACCCACAACCCCAGTGGCCGCCACCGCCACCACCTTCTTTTTCTTGCCAATGCCCTCAAAGAAGTCACTAAAGGAACAGCGGGCTGCCTTGGCTGCGTGGCCTCCGCCCCTGCCTCCAAAGCCTCCGGTTTTGCCTCCGCGCCTCCGGAAGCCCTGCACGCGGTGCAGGAATTGGGAGATGCTCTGGGTGTCTGGGGCCTGGTGCACGGACTCAGGCTCGCTGGGTGTCCAGCAGCGGGGTGGTGAGCACCTCCCAGCACACTGGCTCTGGCGGTTCAGAAAGGCCAGCTTGGCAAGGACATCAGAGTACTCAGCCTTACTGTCATTGGCATCCGCCGCATACGATGGTTGCGGAGAGGCCAGCTTCTGTTTCCGCCGCCGCCGCTTCTTCACCTCCGGCATGGCCATGGTGGCCGCTGTCACGGTCGCAGCCTCGGCAGCTACCACCGCCGGCTCTTTGGGCTTGCCGGGACCCAGCAGCAGGTTCTTGGGAGGTCGGCCACGCTTCCGCTTGAGAATAATAGGCAGCTCGCCTGGCGGGAAGACCACCACCACGTTGCGGCCATTGTTCTTCATCTTCAGCAGCGGGGTGGGCTCTGACGACACCCGCAGGCCCAGCTCCTTGCCCTCCACACTCAGACTGCTACTCAAGGAGGAGACTTTGTACGTGGTCTTGTTCCTCCGCCCCAGTGACACAGGGATCTTGGCCATCTTCACCACCATGCGCCGCACGCCCCTGCACTTGCCTTTGCGGGTGGGGACCATTGGCGTCTGAGAAGATTCTGGCTCCAGCTCAGGAAGTGAGCCTGGGCCTGACAGAGCAGGAGGAGGTGGTGGTGGTGGTGGCAGCGGTGGGGGCTCAGCCAGGGCAGCTGCCAGCCCCGCAGGCATGGGCAGGGGAAGCAGGCGACCCTCAGGTCCCGAATCTGCCTTCCGCCCCCTTCCGGCTTTCCGCCTGCGACACAGGATCTTTGGCCTATCAGTGCGCCTCAGGGCATACTTGGGGTGGCCCTCAGGCCCTGGGGGACCGTGGGATGAGCACAAGTCCAGGCGTAAGGGCTCAGCAAGTTGGCAGTGCCCCAAGGACGGCTGGGGTTCTAGACGTCGACTGGGGACATCCAGCAACTTGGGCAGGGGGTCGAGGGCCTGGGGGTCAAGGAGCTGGGATTCCAAGGAGTCAGGTAAGGTATCCAGGGCCTGCAGAGTCAGGCTCGGCAGCCCCAGAGGGTCAGCAAGGGGCTGCAAGGGTGGTAGCTCCAAACCTTCCCCTAGAGGCTCTAGGGCCTGCGGGTCTAGGAATCGGGGCTGGGGGTCCAGGAGCTGTGGTTCAGGATGCGGTGACGGAGGCTCAAGGGCTTGAGCCTCCAGGAGCTGGGCCTCAGGGCAAGTAAGGGAAGCCAGCTCACTGAGGATATCAGCATCTGCCAGCTCAGAGTAATCGGGCCCGTCTGGCTCGGGCTCTGGGGGCAGACCAGTGGCCGTGGCTGTGGCTCCGGGACCATGGCCTTGGCCAGGCTGAGGACTATCCCTGGGCTCCGGCTCAGGTTCATAGAGGGGGTGGCTGGGCCGCTCTGACTTGGCATGAGGGGTGGCACGCTCCTCGGGGCTTCGGATGCTGTTGGCCAGGCTGGGCGAGGAGAAGAAGCTGTACTGCAGGTCTCCAGGTGGTGGGGCAGGCGGGCGGCTCAGCCGCAGCCCACCGCAGTCCAGATGCACACCACTGTGCTGCAGGTCCTGGGAGAGGCGAGTCAGGTCCTTCATGATGTCAATCAGCCGCACCACCGGATGCAGGTTCACACGCCCGTTGTCCCAGTGGCGGAGGGAGCTGTTGTCTGGGGCCGGTGTGGGACAGCGGGCCTGAGAGACAGGCCGGGCTGCCCGAGGGGGAAGCAGGTCGTCTCCCTTGGCAAGGACCGGTGGACGCCGGGTGCTGGGGTCCCGACGTGGGGGCGGGCGTGGGTTCTCAGAGAAGGTATGAGTGGAAAAGGCCTTATCAGGTGGGCTGGCAGGGGGCCGGGTGGGAAGCAAGGGCCGGGGGGTGGGGGGGCCACCGGGGTAGTACTTGGGCTCTCGGAGGTAGTCAGGAGAGCTGCACACGGCACTGGACGTCACCACCAGGCCCTGAGGCTTCACACGCATCCTGACCTTGTCCTCCTCGGGCCACCGGGCGGGGCCGGGGCTGACATGAGGGTGCGAGAAGCCGGGACCAGAACCTGCAGGGGAAGGAGGTTCTTCACTGAGCATCTGTATCTTCAGTTTCCCGGATCTGAATTAGCCCCTTGGCCCTTTCTCTACAGTCTTATTTCCCTCTATGTTCTAGCCCAGGGCCCAACCCAATTGCCTGCAGGTCTTCCGTCACGTGTACACACAATCAACTCCACACGGGGCCCCAGCAGCACAGGGGCAAATGACCCCCTTTTACAGGCTACAGAGAGGAGAGGATCCCCATCTTGGGAGGCCTAGGATCAGGGCAAGATGACCATTCCAGATAAGGCCAGGAAGACCTGCTATGCTACCCTTCCCTTCTCAGCCCGGTCCCCAAGCTGCACTCACCCTCGGCTCTGCCGCCTGGGCTGTCACACTGGGTATCTCTGTGGGCAGCAAGACAGGAGCAGAGCTGAATTCTCCACACGATTCAGGGTCCACACTCCAGCCCCGCCCCTTTCCAGACACCACCCCAGCTCCATCAAGCTCCCTCCCATCTGACCTGGTAAACAGAGGTGCCCCGTGCTTGGGGGCTCTGCCAGTCGCTGGCTGTCAGCTGGGGGTGTTGTGGAGCCACTTCGGCCTGAGCCCAGGCCTTGGGGTGTGGACAGCGCCTGGAAAGGACCACCGCAGCTCAGGTTTAGTGAGCACCTACTGCACGCCAGGCACTGGGCTGGAAGCTGTCCAGGCATTGCTTCATTTAATTCTTCATACCGATCCTGCGAGGTAGGGGCTATTAATGACCCCATTTTGCAGATGAAAAAAAATGGAGGCTCAGACATGCATTCATTCGTTTGTTCATCACTTATGGAATGTCTACTTTGCACAAGGCCTGGGAAGGCCAACACTGAACAGATAACCCCGAGTGAGAGTGACTTAATGATCAGTGGACTAAGAGCTGCAAAGAAAAGCGAAGAGAGTACCTGGGATCCGGGGTCCAGGAGCCACCACCAAACTGACAACAAAAGCCTGAACTGTGGGGACACTTTACTGCCAACACTGGGCTAAGGACTTTAATGGATTATCTCATCTAACCTCCCTGCCATACACAAATCAATTATCCTGCCCGCTTTTAAAGAAACCATCCAGTAAAGGTTCAAAGTACCATGAAGGCAGGCCTATCTGCCCCGTCCGCTGCTGAATGAAGCTCCCCACACCTGCGACAGCTCGCACTCCACACAAGTATCCAAAAACACACGTGTTGTCTGCCTCGGGAGTTTTTTTGTTTGTTACAGTCCTTCTAAGCTTATTTTTCTCTTACGTGAGGAGCGTTTTGCCTGCTCACACGTATATACACCACGTGCCTCCCCTGGTGCCCACAGAGGTCAGAGGTGGCATTGGACCCCCTGGAACTGGAGTTCTGCATGGTTGTGAGCCACCACGTGGGTGCTGGGAATAGAACCTGATCCTCTGCAAGAGCAGCCAGTGCTCTTTACTGCTAAGCCATCCCTTCGGCTATTATTTTATTACATTTGAATTGCGTGTGTATGTGTACAGGTCAGAACACAACCTGCACACACCAATTCTCTCTTTCCACCATGTGGGTCCCAAGGACTAAGTTCAAGTTGTTTAATTTTGGGTCAGGTTTGACACTTTTTACCCACTGAGCCATCTTATCAGCCCCGTTTTTCAAGACAGGGCATGGGGGGGGGGTGGTACAGGCGTGTGGCACATGTCTGGCTCTACCAGTGACAGGAATGTAGAAAGGGAGATTCTCTTGCCCCTTCAACCTTCATCAGAGTCTCTGAAGGGCCACCTGACTTCCGAGTCCGCAGCACAGCCCTATCTATGTCACCTTCACAGTATTTATCACAACTGCAATCAATTACAGGGTGACTGGCCATTTAGTGTGTCTCCCTTGAGACTGTGGGCTCTTCAGGGGCAGGGATCACATCTGTCTTGTTTACTGCTGTGTCCTGCGACCCCAGAGCCTGGGCCATGGACGCTACGTAAATATTTACGGAGTGACTCTGAGCTGGTCAGGACAGAGCTGGAACTCAGATCTGGGCATGTCTGATTCCCAAAGGAACCTAAAGACTCAGAGCTGAGCAGGAAGTAGGACCTTAGCGAGCTGCATGAGCCCTTGCTGCCGAAGGATCTCAGAGAGCAGCTACTGATGACTGCCCGGGGTTCGGTCCTGACCTAGAGCTGTATCATGAGGGCTTCTGCCCTGTGGACAGGCTGCCATCTTGCCTAGTGCTGGCCCACACACCGTGGGAAAGGACATTCTGCGGCCCCTACAGAAGACAGCAACATGCAACCCACAGTCAGTCCTAAGCACCGCCAGGGCCCACCTCTCGGCACCCAGGAAGGAATGCAGCCCACAGGGCATGTGCAGAACTTTGCAGTCCACACACATGACCCACTGAGTCTTCACAGCAACCCAGGAGGCATGCATGGCTTCTTATCCTGGAGCCACAGAGCAAACGGGCCCAGACCCTTCCTGGTGAAACGCGCCCACAGCCACACAGCTGTTCAGAGGCAGAGTTCCTAATTCTCTGAAGGCCAAAGCCTCTTTCCACTCTCAGCTCCTGCCACAGTCCTTTAGCCTCTTCTGGAGAGGCTCCTTCTAGAGCTATGGTCTAATTTAAGGCTGGGAGGAACACTGAAATTATCTAAGCCGCTGGCTTCCCAACCCTGAGCTCGGAGGAGCGAAGGAGCTATGTAACACTCCAGATACCCAGGCCCTAGTCCAGGAGGACCTGACTCACACATCTGAGGGACATCTGGGAAGCTGTCGTTCTAATCTGCCCTGCCCCCAGTGGGTACCCTGTGCTCTAGTTCCACTTTATAGAACAGGAGACTGAAATGGGGAGAGGTTAGACCTAACTTGAGGCCACAAACGGCACATGAAGGAACCTTCTGCTGTTCCTCCAGGTCAGTTTTCATTTCCATCCACTCTGCCAGACCTCGTCCCCGTGGCTCCCTCGCACCTGCTAACTCAAGGCTCTGCTCTCTCCTGTGCCTCTTGTGGACCTGTACCCCTTCCAGCTCATCACTGCCTCTATCTCTCTTCTGTCTCTCCCCACACACTCATTCGTATGCACACATGCACCCCCACGAGATCTCTCCATGTAATTTGGAACCCTCGTGTGCACTGGCCTGAGGGGCAGCTGTGCAGCCAAGGATAACCCTGCATTCTAAGCCTCCCGACTCCACCTCCCCAGTGAGCTCTCAGGGTACACCACCACACCCAGGTTTTGCAGTGCCAGAGACTGAACCCAGGGCTTTGTGCATGGTAGGCAAATACTCTACCGGCCTGGCTGCCTTTCCAGCCCCACCCCCTTTCTTTTTGGGAGACAAGGTTTTGTTCGTAGCTGTGGCTGGCCTAGAAATCACCACGTAGACCAAGTGGACCTCAAACCTGCAGCTATCCTCCTGCCTCTGCCATCGCTGACAGCAAGAGCAAGTACCACCACGCATAGTGAGAACACCTTCGGAGTGTGGAGGCAGCCAGGCGAGGGTGCACGTTCGGGAGACAGGCAGATCTCCAAGTTCCAGCCCAGCCTGGTCTACAGTCAGGGCTACATAGCAGGACCCCGCCTCAGAGCTCAGACTCCAGTAGTGAGCTTGACCTGGCTTTTGGAGACACCTACCAGAAGCTCCACTCCTCCCTTGCTGTGGGTGGGGCTGGCCAGGCCTTCCTGCTCTAGAGACCTCCCACTTGGGGCCTGAGGGTGTGATCTTGGCAGAAGAGACAAACCTCCTCTCCAGTGGTTGCTTCTGCTCCACCCACCCATGAAGACCTTTGGCCACATCCTCCTGACTGTCCACTGCTCTCTTGCAGCCTTCAGGGTCTGAGGGAAGCAGTTGGCTCCCTTCCCCACCACACCCCAACAGGCAGCCATTCTCTTGGCCTCTTCTCAAAGGTACCATCTAGCCCAAGTCTGTGAATGAAAAGTCAAAAGGGTCCTCTGTCTGCCTGTCTGTTCCTGGGTCAGTGTCTGAGCTTGCCCACAGGGACACCAGCTGGCTAGGAGGGGGCCCCAACCTGCAGCGCGCACAGTGCCGGGAAGCGCCAGCCCACATCCTTGATCCCCAGCCCCACCCTCTCCCGCTGTGGCTGTGACCACCCCACCCCTTCCCCAGCCCTCCTCCCCCCCTCACCCACCCTTAACCTCCCCAGGGGAGCCAAGCTGCCAGCCCCAGCTCTCACTTCCGGCCTCATGACCCTCTCTCCAGCATGCATGCACGCCTCCTCCCATTTCCCTCAGCGAGCCCGAAGGCCCAGGGATGTCCCAGGCCTCCTAGCAGAGGGAAGTGCTTCTGTGCTGAAGCCCTATTCAGGACCCCCACTAAGGCCATTACCTCCCAGGATCAGCCAGCTCTCTCTCTCTCTCTGAGGAACTTGGTATCCTTCTCTTGGTCTTCCCTTCCTTTTAGCCCCTAGTGCCCACCCAACCTGCAGATCTTCTAGGAAGCAGATTCGATTCCAGACCCAGATCCCAACAAAACAAGGAACCAGTCACTTATTTTGCACTTAACTGTGAGCACAGAGAGGCTTAGCCATGCCCTTAAGGACACACAGCTATGCCATTCAGTTTTGCTGCTGTGTACATTCGGCTTTGTTGGGGTCCTCTAAACCAAACTGCTTCACCATCCATAGATTCAGCCTAGCCCGCCTCCCCTATCTTATCAGTTCTAACCTATCTTGCCCCCAGCTTCCATCTGTCATTGGGATGCACTACCTTCCCTGACCACTAGGTGTCCCCTTGGAGCCACTGATGCCCCAAGGGGAGCTGGTCCTGCCCCGCCCCCGGGGCCACCAGCTCCCCCCACCCCAGAACAGGGCAGCACTGCATCCCCCACCCCACCCTATCCCCAGCCACACAGAGCTCCTTTGTGCAGCCCCCGCCCACCCTCTTCCTGTCCAGAGTGGGGCACCTGGCAAGCAGGTCTGTTCCTGAACCGCCCCTGCCAGCCCCTTGCCCTGGGTGCCAGGTGTGTAGGCGCCACTGCCAGCTCTCACTGGACCCGAGGGTCACCCCATTGGCAGCCCTCCCTTCCTCTCTCCGAGGTCACCCAGGGACTGCTTCCCGCCCCACTCCACCCCCATCCCCTCCTGCCCTTGGCCCTTCCAGACTCCTGTCCTTGTCTTTCCTTCTGTCTCCCAGAGGACACCCTCCTCCAGCACCACTAGCACCTCCTCCCACCTCTCTCCCGCCCCCGCCCATGTCCCTCCCCAGAGAGCCAGCTCTGCCCCGCCCCTTGCTGCCGACCAGGTCGGAAGAACTCCTCCCCCTGGAGAGTCACTGTTGGAAAGGAAGTGACTTCAGCAATTTGGCCACAAGGCTGGGCACGGCTGAGCCCAGCTCAGCCCAAGTCTTGCCCAGCCCACCTCCAAAGCACAGAGGGAGCCATGTGCACTTGGCACCTCACCTTGCACCAAGAACCCTGAGCGCACACCAAACCCACTCAAGGGTAAGAGAGTCTTGGTCCAACAGCACCCTGTGTGGTAGAAACAGCCCAGTCGATCCACACCTCACAGGACCCTCGCTGGGCACAGTCTACCCACACGTGTGGCCCAGCAGACACTTGTGAAGCTCTTAGCTCTCACCCCAGCCTCAGCCACTTACGTAACTCTCCTATACCCAGTGCCGCGCACTAAGGACAGAGAGCCCTACCCACCTGCCAGCACAGAGACCCAGTCCCAGCACATTCACAGCCTCCCACAGCCCTGCCTCCCCACCCTTCCCATCCCTGGAGGCCCAACCCCCACACAGACCTCAGGAATGCTCCTTTGGAAGTTGGGTGGGGTTCCCAGCAGGCTAAACTCTTAAGGAGCTTCCTGGAGCCTGAGGCTTCATGTGTCAGTTCAGGGAGTTGCCTCTACAGGGCAGGGCAGCCCCACCTGGCCTCTGTGGCTGGGAGCCTGGGTGGGCTAACCTGGGCTATGAGAAAGATGGGTTCTACCACTGCCCCGCCGCCTAGCCGGCTGCTGGACTACCAGACCAAGGACCTCACCTTGGCCTCCCGGCTCTGTGCTTCCATTGACGCCAGTGAAGAGGTGTCCTGAGGGGCCGGCAGCACACAGCAGGCTCTCTGCCTTCCACCTCTGCCCTGAATCCTGGTCTCCGGCACAACCCATCTCTCCTCCCAGTTCTCTCAGGTCATCAAGGCAGAGGGAAGAGTCCTCAGGCTAGGAGGCAGGATTCTAAGGGACTCACTGTGTATCCACGAGCCTCCATTCCCCTTTCTGGGTAGTGGGGAGTTCGAGGAAGCTAGATTAAGGTTTCTTAACTTAAAGAGTCTCTCTCTCTCTCTTTCTTTTTTTTGTGCCTAAGCTGAGAGGAGATCCCTGTTACACTGGCCCCGGCCCGGCCCCGACTTTCTCAGTTACCTGAGCAGGCTCTGCAGAGGCCTGGCTCAGCAGGAACGGTCTGTCTTCACCAGCATCAGCTTCTCCAGGGTGGTCTCTGCAGGGGCTGGAGCAGCGCCCCTCACCTGGGAGCCTCTGCACGCACTCAACTGGGCTGGCTCTGGGGTCCAGGCCGGTGAGTACACAAGCAGGCAAGCTCCCATCTGTGGACGAAAACACAGTACACAGAAGGTAAGCGTGGATGCAGGGTGGGCCAGGACACTCTACACAGATGCCAGTCCAGCTCTGACTTTACCCGCCTGCAAAACTCGGTCCCACCCACCTTCCCCATCCTTTAATTCTTTACATATTTAATTGTTGGGGCCGGAGTGGTTAAGAACACTGGCTGCTCCTCCCCACGACCTGGGTTCAATTCCCAGCACCCACACGGCAGCTCACAACTATCTGTAACTCCTGTCCTGGGGGTCTGACACTTTCACACAGACATACATGCAGGCAAAGTGTCAATGTACGTGAAATAAAAAATAATAATAGTAACAACAACAAGTTACTTTAAAAAGATTTGATTATTGTATTGCATGTGTTTTGCATGCCTGGTGCCCACAGGTCGGAGAGAGGGCGTCAGTTCCCCCATGGAATTGAAGTAACAGACGGTAAGCCATTCTATAGGTATCGTGAATGGAACCCAGGTCCTTGGCAAGAGCAACAAGTGCTCCCCACCTCTGAGCCATCTCTAGCCCTGAGTTGGCCTTGGCTCAACTCCCTTATCCTGTATCCTTTATGAGCCTCCTCCATTGTCTCATCCCTAAAATCAGGGAGTCACATCCAGTGAACAAGTGGGAAAGCTCTGTGTAAGGGGGGGGGGGGGGTGGGGGGATGGGAGGGTAGTGACTGTAGGTGCAAGTAGCTGCTCTAAGTGCCAGGGATGCCCATCCCCAGCAGTGACTGGTTATAGCTCTTGTTTTCATTTTCTTTTTGGTTTCTCCAGACAGGGTTTCTCTGTGTAGCCCTGGCTGTCCTGGAACTCACTCAGTAGACTGGGCTGGCCTCAAGATCCTCCTGCCTCTGCTTCCCGAGAGGCCTGTGCTGCTACCACCACCTGGCTTGTTTTCTTTACTAACCATGGCCTTCCCCACTACTTCCCCCATTTCCTACTCAGTGGCTGGCCTTCTGCTGTCTGCACTGAGGCCCGGGTAGGGGCTGGGTGTGGAGGGTGGGAGGAGGGGTGGTTGAGAACCAAACCTCATAGGGGTTTATAGATTCTGCTTGCCTGGAATGCTGCATGTGTGCGCGCCTCTGCCTCACCTACTGGTGAGTTGCTGGGTCTACCCTGCCTACCAGTACGTGTCTGTATGCCAGGGTAGGGTACCTGTTCGATTAAGGCTGTACCTGTGAGAGGGCTCAGGTGGAGCTCAGAGGAAGGGCACTTCTGGAGTACAAGACCCTGGGTTCCACTCCCAGCACCATAAAAATAAATAAAATCTGCACGTGTGGGATCATGAGTCTGATCAGTAGTGGCCGGCCGTGTTCTGTGTCTTGCCAGAACCACAGTTATGCTTGTGGATATGCGCACCTTCTAAATTTCTACTCTGCCCAGCTCTCTGTAGCTATCTGCTGAGCCTCTGACAGGTGTGCCCAGCTAGGAGTGTGCCTGTGTGTGTGTGTAGACACTGTGCTTGGCTCACTGAACCTCACTGTGTCAGGAGCCAGACCAGCTCCTGCCTGCCTCTGAGCTCTCTGGATGCGTGTTTGGCAGCGGGGGGGTGGGTAGGGGGATGGGGGGGGCGCGGGGGGGCGCGGATGCTCTGCTGTCCCCACAGGTTTCCACTCTCCAGGCCTGACTGTAGGCGCCGGTGTACTGTGGATCAACATTGCCTACCTCCTACCTCTGCCTTTCCTTTCTGTGGCTTTCAGGGTCACGGTGTGATGGCGTGACTGGTCACAGTGTCCCTGTGGGTTTGTTTCGCCATGGTCAGCATGTGCTTGCGGGTATGTCTTTGCATGTGTGGATTTGTATGACCTTATCATTGTGAGTCTGTGCATAGCATGTGCATTGGAGGGTCCTTGTGTTGTCCCATTATAGGTCTGTGCCAGTATAGCTGAGTGTCAGTGTCAACACGTATGAGAGGGCCTATGTGCCTGTCAGCACAATGGAGCCTCAGTGTTTGTGTGGTAGCTTTGTGTAACTCATGTACACAAGTACATGGAGACAGCCTTTGTGAGGCTGTGTGTGTGTCACTCACTGTGTTGGCGGTCGTATGTGCCCTTCTCTCCTCCATCCCTCCTTATCTCCAGAGTGCCTGTGTGTGCTCTCTCTCTCTGTCTCTCTCTCCCTCTTCCCCCTCCCTCCCTCTCTAGGAGCCAGACAACTCCCCAAGCCTGGATTAGGGACAATTTATCCACAGGCAGAGAAGGAGAATTCCAACCTGCCAGAGCCTCCCTCTGATCCGTTCCCCCCTTCCCTGTGGCTGAGTGGGCATGGAAACACAGCCTGGCAGCTCCCAAGCCCTCAGGGAGACCCCCACCTCCACAGTTCCCCAGAGGCCCAGAGAGGTGGAAAAGGTGGGAATCTGGGTGGCCTGGAACCCCCCACCCCAGTGACTAACTGGCCCCCATGGCTCAGCTAATCTTGGCCCTCTTCTACATACAGCGGGTGGGTGGGTGAGGGACCAGTCTGCATGGGGTCTGCCAGTCTCTGGGGGCTCAAGAGAACTAAGGAGCAGCTGCCCTCAGAGCCCTATATACTGATAGTTCCCGGATGATAACTGCCATCCTCCCAATAAATAACAAGGGAACATGCAACCGTGCCCATTCAGGCCGGGGCGGCAGGCTGTGTGGTGGGGGAATGTGGCAAGGGGGAGCAGGGCTGGGCTGGGACTAAGGCTCCCTTCACCGTGCTCCAGGCGCAAGGCAGAATCACATGTTTTCCATTAACTGCTTTGGCCTCCTTGTTCGGGGGTGTTGGCTGGGGGAGATTTGTTCTGGTTGCAGACACCAGCAGAGACCACACAAGAGAGAGAAGGAGAGAAGAGGGGGGTTCTCTAGCAAGCACCAGAGGCACAGAGGAAGAGAGACAGAGAGACAAGGACCGGGGACAGAGGCCAGTAAAGAGAAAGGTGAACAGAGACAGTGGGACACAGGGACAAGGAGGTAGGCTGGGCAAGGCCCTAGATAGAGAATCAGTTCAGGTCAAGAAGGACCCAGAGAGAGACAGGAGGCTTCGAAGACAGCAGCATGGGGAAGGCAGCCTGACACAGACGCAGCAGAGAGGGAAGACCAGAGATCAGGCTGATCCACACAAGCCTGGAGAGGATGGCAGGGTGGACACAGTGGGTGGGAAGGTTAGGTGAGGGCCTCACGGGCAGGGAAGAGGATGCCCAGGCGGGTGGCGGGAGGGGGCAGCCAGTGCCTGAGCCTCCCGCCTGCTGACCCTCAAGCCTTGGAGATAACACACCCGAATAGTGCTGACTTGCGGTTCAGAAATCCAATATCCTCCGCGGCGCACTAATCGACTACCTGAGCCCCAGCCCGCGTGAGCTGCCCCGATTAATCCTGCGGCTCCACAGCCTTAATTAGTTTAACAGTTTCAGGGGCAGAAGAGGCAGGCAACAGGGTCCCTAGGCCCTCGGGGACACAGTCCTCACGCAAACCCTGTGTGGCACACCACATCCTCAGTCACACCTGCCTAGGCCCCAGAGGCCCCTTCCCACACCATCTGAAAAACACTGGGTCCTTTCTCCCAGGGTACAGCCCCGAGGGCTGGCACTCGGGCCAGAAGGTAGGTCACGAGGCACTAAGGCTCTCCCTCTCCTATTTGTCTGTGCTTAGGGCCACAAGTGTTTCCTCTGGCCAGCCTTTTGGGGGCCCTGCGGTCTGCCTGGGGCAGCCCTACCAACTGCCAGCCCCGTACCACAGGGTAGTAGGTTGTCTCTTTAGGGTGAGAGACCAGCCCCTCACTCACTGACAACATCCCAACAGCATGAGCTGATCGCTCGTGCCACACCCCACAGCTGCCAGAGGGAGAGAGACAGGCATACAGCCACTGACAACCCAGCAGGAGCAGCTAAACACACAACCTGTTGCTTCCCTGAAAATGTGAGATGGTCATATCCAAAACACCCAGATGGCACAAGGTGGTTCTCCAGTTGTCACCCCTCACAACCGTGTGACAACTAACCAGGCACCTCTTACCCATTGACAGGATGTGGGATGTAGAGAAAGACCTGCCACATACAGTGTACCAAAATAGCCCCTGCCACGGGACGAGTCTCCTCCACCCACCAGAGTATGAGGCAGGGAGGGAACCCAACCTTGTCCTTCTCCGTGTCCCCCTATCTAGACATGCCATGCCACCTCTTCCTGCTTTGGACAGGTGACATCCCACCCACATCCCTCCTCCAGCATTGTCGCCAGCCCGGGTGGTACTGTCTGTCCTCTGCCTGCAGAAGCGTCACAGCTCACAAGGCATGAATGTCACCCCAGCAATGCTAGAACCCGGCACAGCCAGCCACACACTGCCCCAGTGACAAACGCTTCTGGCCCCAGGAGGAGGTGGAGGCACACAAGGCTCTGGGTGTGACCTTGCTCCCTGGACACCAGGAGGGAAGGTACTGTGGCCTCCTGCCTGGGTAACCCAGCAGCTAGGCAGCGAGGCGCAGAGAGAGGAGCACTGGGAGGGAAGCTGGCCCGGCGCACAGAAAACCTGGACAGTTCACCTTCCCAAGCTCCCATTGCGTTTCTAATGAGCTCAAGGAGCAGGCAGGATAGTGGCCCGAGCCCCCCTTCGCTGGGCAGGTTGTCCCTCTTCCTTATAAAGGCCCCCTCTCCACATGTAAGGCCACAGAGCTAGGGATAGGGACAAGGAGGCCAAAGTCCAGGAGCATGACTCACTTGGGGAACAGGCCCAGCCTGCTGGCCAGAGTGGTGAGGGAGGCTAGGAGCCAAGAGGCCTGGGTTCAAGTCTACGCTCCTCCCAGGCCAAGCTGTGTCACCTTGGAGCAGCAGCTCAGACTCCTTGGCTTAGAGGAGAGGAAAGGGGCCAAGGAAGTACTGGGGTCAGAAAGCAGCTGTAGAGAAGTGGGGGTGGCGGGCTCCACTCCCCACTCCGTTTCTTCCTCAAGGACACTCAGCTTCTTGCATCCCAATCTCCCCACCTGTAAAGCTGGCTTTGTAAGACCATGGGGTGTAAGCAGAATGGGAAGAG